TACAACAATGTGAATGTATTTAACACTACTGACTTAAATACTTAAAAATGGTCAAGATGGTAAATTTTATGTTAAGTGTATTTTACCACAATAATAAAGAGATAAATACCAAGTCAGCAAACTGAACAACGTGATACTCCCATCTCCTTTCTCCCAGGTGAGCTTTCAGAAAAGCTAGCAGCCAGGGGCGCATGGGTGGCTCAGTTGGTTAAGCAACTGCCTTCGGCTCAGGTCATGATCCTGGAGTCCCGGGATCGAGTCCCGCATCGGGCTCCCTGCTCGGCAGGGAGTCTGCTTCTCCCTTTGATCCTCCCCCTCTCATACTCTCTGTCTCCCATTCTCTCTCTCAGATAAATAAATAAAAAATCTTTAAAAAAAAAAAAAAAAAAAGAGCTAGCAGCCAGAATTATCTATGCCATGGCAAAAGATTAGATGCAGAATTCCTCTCTGGAAAACCAAATGATTTCTAAAAGTTCCATCTGCTTCTTTTACAGTTGTGTCAGGCCTTTCTGGATAGCATCTTATTTTTGTTGTTCCCACTTTTTAAAAATTACTTAAAATTTTTTTTATTTTTTTAAGATTTTATTTAAATTCCAATTAGTTAGCATACTGTGTAATATTAGTTTCAACACTTATAGTGATTGTGATTCAACAATATAGTATTCAACACTTCATTACAACATCCGGTGCTCATCACAAATTTTTACGTTACTTTAAACACACCTATTTTATTTTCTAACACTTCCATTCTTTAGGCTCTTACAAATACTGACATAGGGTGTCCCCAACAAAACATAACTGATTCCTACCTATATGATCACCCAACACTGAAGCCCACCAAAGGAGCTCTACTCATATATGAATACCTTCCAGTCAGCTGTGTGTCTTACTTGGAAATGTAATCAGGTTAACCATCTCCAGACATTTGAGATTGTAAGATTAAAAGTCAAAAACACAAAGTAAAAGGAACAAAGAAAGTAGAGGCGATGCACGGGGCACCTGGGTGGCTCAGACGGTTAAGCGTCTGCCTTCGGCTCAGTCATGATCCCGGAGTCCTGGGATCGAGTCCCGCATCTGGCTCCCTGCTCCTTGGGAGCCTGCTTCTCCCTCTGCTTCTCTCTCTCTCTCTCTCTCTCTCTCTCTGTCTCTCATGAATAAATAAATAAAATCTTTAAAAAAAAAAGAAAGAAAGAAAGTAGAGGCGATGCAGTGAGCAAAAGAAAACTTGAAAAATACTTTGATCAATATGTCCAGTGATAACAAATATTCTGTCCAGGGGAGATGATTGTGTATGTATATATATATATATATAGCATTTTATTTTATTTTTTTAAGTAGGCTCCATACCCAATGTGGGGCTTGAACTCATGACCCTGAGATCAAAAGTCGTACACTCCACTGACTGAGCCAGCCAGGCACCCCTCTCCAGGGAAGATTTTAAAAAGACATTCAGTGGGGCACCCGGGTGGTGCAGTCCGTTAAGTGTCTGACTCTTGGTTTCAGCTCAGGTCCTGATCTCAGAGTCTGCTCCAGACTCTCCCTCTCCCCCTCCTCCCTGCTGTGTGCACACGCTCTCTCTCAAATAAATCTTTAAAAAAAAGATATACAGTTATATATAATCAATATAATTATTAATTATAATAGTTAGATAGTAGGAGAAAGGTAGGAGAACATGTGGAGGAAATCTCACAGAAAAGAAACAATGAGTAGGAAAACAGGAGAGAAAAGAAAACAGAAAAACGGAAGAAATATGTCAAATAAATGAGAAATCTTTCCAGATTATTAAGAACTTGAGTTTCCAGCCTAAGTGCCCAATACAATACACAGGACTCTAAAAGCATGCTTTTAAATTTCTAAGAGAAATCATTCCTAATTTAGAATTATAATTCCAGATAAATGATATGTAAAGAGCAAGCAATGGTAGCATAAACCTATTTCTAAGAAATGACATAAATTTTTTTTCTTCCCATGTACTCTGCTCTCAGGAAGCTATACCTGTTTTTGGAAGGATGGATGGGCTCCACCACTACCAGGAACAAAAATAACAATATTTACTGAGTGCTTACTGCATGCACAGACCTTTTATATGTATTTGCTCCTTTACTGTCTAAAACCACCCTTTGAGGTGCCCACCCATCCTCCAGATTGGAAACTCAGGCACAGAGAGTGTAAGTAATTTGCCAAGGTTACATATCCAGTTGTCAGTCAGGATTTGAACCTAGGCAGGTGGGCTCCAGAGCCCATACTCTCAGTCATTAATCTATTGCGCCTGCCAAGGGAGTAAACTCCGAAAGAGGTAATATGTGGGATGGAGACACAACGAAAGGGGAAGGAAATTTCCAGAAAGATGATAAAGGGAAGTCCCCAAAACACAAGTGAGCCAACAAAACTGACAAAATATGGGTGTGCTTGAGCACATCTGGAAAAGATTTTCCAGTTAAAGTTTGGACAAAAGAGCAAATCTAAGCAAACAAAATACAATTATTAACTTCAGAAAAACAAAAAGCTGTACAACAAAGAAAATGCAATCATAATTCTGGTTGGTTCATTTGTGAATAATGGTAAGAGTGATAAATCATACAGTAATTCAACAAAAAAGAGGTAAGTGCATTGGAAGGATGGGACGAGGTGAAGAGTGTGCACGTTTCAGTTAAATCCACAGCAGGACTACTGGAAAACAACAAAATGGTACCACCACTTTACTTAGAAACACGAAAGCAGAAAGCAAAAATGTAAATGTTTTTGTCACTCTGAATTCCGTTCTTGGATCTCTTGCCCTCCTAAATTAAAATTGTGCATACATCATTACGGTTCACCCCTTGTGTCTTAGGTTTATGACTTCGGACAAATGCATAAACTCATTAATTCCTAGACTCCTAATGAAAGCATTTGATAGCTACACCCAAACAGCGAGCATGGCTGTATTCAAATGAAACTTTATGGAAACTGTAATGTCTACCATGTCACATAATTTTCATATGTTGCAAAATATTCTTTTGATTTTCTCCAACTGTTTAAGAATCATTCTTAGCTTATGGGCCATACAAAAACTGGTGGCAAGCTGTATTTGGCCCATGAGCTGTAGTCTGCCAATTCCTGTCCTAAAGCAAAAAGATGGGTGGAGATACAGTCCAGAAGCTGCAGATGGGAGATTCCCGTCAATGAGGTTCCAAACAGCCCATATTACCCACAAAAGAAATATTTAGCACATGGACAGCTGCTTCACCCAGAAAGCCAGCTAACAACAATCCCGGTCTCTTAACACTGTTTTGACCCTTATCTTTGCTCCCTTTATCACCTCAATCTTGAAGAACCTGAGACAGCAACAAGGGGAGTGGGGGGGGGGGCAGGAAACGAAGAGAATCGAAGGGCAGAAACAGGATGAAACCAGTTCACTCCTTTTCCCCACTACAGGATTTTGGTACAGAATGTGGCCCAATCTGAGGGGGGAGGGCTGGGCATTAAATTGAATAAGATATTTTAAATTAGATGAGGCCAGACTTCACAATACCTGAGGCTAATTGGAAAGCCTTACATCTGCCCAGATTCACCTAAGCGTGGAAGAGAACCATTAGCAAACAATATCTAAACCCAGTGGTAAAAGAATAAAGTTGTTCTCTATATTCAAACTACTAAATACTATCTCATTGACTAGGCCAGTTACATAACCAAAGGACCTTTATTCAGTATAGGCAAAGAATGCTTATATATAGGGCGCCTGGGTGGCTCAGTCGTTAAGCGTCTGCCTTCGGCTCAGGTCATGATCCCAGGGTCCTGGGATCGAGCCCCGCGTCGGGCTCCCTGCTCGGCGGGGAGCCTGCTTCTCCCTCCCCCACTCCCCCTGCTTGTGTTCCCTCTCTCGCTGTGTCTCTCTCTGTCAAATAAATAAGTAAAATCTTAAAAAAAAAAAAAAAAGAATGCTTATATGTAGATCAATAAAGATCTAAGAGAAAATAGAAAAATGGGCAAAGGATACAAATAGGTGTTTTCTAAAAAAGTTAAATAACTTTTAAGGAAATGCAAAATAAACCCAGATACATTTCACATTCACCATACAGGAAAATTGTTAAAGTCCCAACAGTATCAGGTATGGGTAAGAATGATTAAATGAAAGAAGTCACAGGGCAATGCACCATTTTTAAAGCAATGGTATTACCACTCGATTGTTAAATTTAACAAGACTGTGGCAGCCATTCTCTGGCAAGAGTCCCCAACCTCAAAAGAGGACGTACACTTCTGCATAACACCAACTTTTTAAGGATAATCAGGTGGGAAAGCCACGCCCACATTTCAGGAGATGAAATTTCAATTCTTGTGTGTGGCCACTCCCTACGACTTGAGACTCCTAGATACAAGAAATGCTGGAGGATTTCCAAGAACGCCCCAAAACAGAAACGACGGAGAGGCTGGAGGAAACGGGAGAACCCAGTGACTTGGTGATCTGGGCCCGAGGGCTTAACTGGAGGGAAGCGGCAGGAATGTGAACGAATCAGGAAGACCCGTCCCGGCTCGCTTCACCCCGTCCCACCGCCTAGAGGTCACGGCCGCCCGGCATTTCTGGCCGCGGACTGCCGCTCCCGCTCCCTCCCCCCCGGGGCGCCCCGCGGGCCCGCAGGCCGGGAAGGGTCAGGGGCCCTGCGGTCCGAAGGCCGGGCGGTCCCGCCACCGAGGCCTCGCCCTCGACCCACAGGGGCGAAGCAGCCAGGAGAGAGCCGGGAGGAGGGGCCGCGGCCCCGGCCCGCCCCAAAGCCGCGGGGGCAAAACAGAAACCCAGCGCGGAGGAAACGGAACGCAGCCCGGCCCGTGCCGCCCGGCCCTGCCCGCCGCCGAGTCGCTCCGCCGACGGGAGCGAGATGGCCGCCCCCTCCCCTGGCCCCACCGCGGCCCGAGCCGCCGCACCGCGCCGACGAGTCGCCACCGCCCACTGCCGGCCCCCCTTCGCTTGCCCGCCTGCCCGCCCTCCTGGGACACGGCCCGCTCCACCCCTCGCGGCTGCTCACCGCGCTGAGGCGGATCCCGCTGGGTGGCTGCGCCGCCATCTTGAGCGAGCTACAAAGCCAGGACCGGCCTCGGCCGCAACCCGACTGGGAGGCGGCCGAGACGACTGTGGGGCCCGCCGGGCCCGCCCACTTCCGGGGCGGGGCGCGCGGCTGCCCCGCCCGCCCACTTCCGCCCCAGACACAGTTGTATTGAGAGTATGGGGGAAGTAAATACCCGGGATGAACGGGGAGAGCTGGGCTCGAAGCGTTGGGCCCTGCAGGGAAAGGGTGCATGCGTGAGACTGGCGGGCGCGAAAGGGTCGCTCGCTGCGTTTACTGGATCTGGAAACTTGAGGGTGGAGAGTTTGAAGTCTGTCCCCACGTGCGCTGGGGCCCGGAGAGGTGAACTCGAGGCGCCTGATTGGACGTGAATTGCACTAAAACAAGCCGCCCATGCCCACCTGTGTCAATGTGACTTGAAACCTTGTTAACGAAATGTAGACTTTGTGCATTTTGGATTTGCTCTGGACGTTATCATCCTTCGGCCTGGTGAAGAGTTCTTTCTTTTTTTTTTTTTTTTTAAAGATTTTATTTATTTATTCATGAGAGACAGAGAGAGAGAGAGAGAGGCAGAGGGAGAAGCAGGCTCCCAAGGAGCAGGAAGCCCGATGCGGGACTCGATCCCAGGACCCTGGGATCATGACCTGAGCCGAAGGCAGACGCTTAACCATCTGAGCCACCCAGGCGCCCCAGTTCTTTCTTGCGTGCACATTTATTGAGTCCTTCCGCTCATGCACGCTTAGTGTCGACTTTGCGCCGGGTGTTGGGCTGAGTAGGATATAGAAATGAGTCAGTCTAGGGCTGTTCCATACGGCAGGTAAAGAGGATGGAAAGGGTTTTTTAAATATCCATTTAGGTTTTTTGCTTTTTGTTTTTCCTCTTATCTCTTTGTCCTGATTTTTGGGAAGTTTAAGCACATGTCAGGTCTCCAACACTTGTTTTTAATTTTTTTAACTAAAAAAAAAAGATCCACCAAAACCCGGTTAACCCATTTCTCCCAAGCACTCCCCACCTATTGCGTTTTTTACTGTAATACATTTTCTTTGTAAAAATTCAGATAATATGGAAATATAAAACATGAAATTTACCCCCAATCTCTTCACCAGAACATATAAACAATTTGGTATACATTAATCCAGGCTTACTATATACTAAATATTATTTCCAATACAGATGGTCTTCCCACTTGCCACAGTTCCACTTAGGATTTGTCAACTTTACCATGGTGTGGAAATGATATGCATTGAATAGAAACTGTACTTGGGGGGCGCCTGGGTAACTCAGTCGGTTAAGCGTCTGCCTTCAGCTCAGTTCATGATCCCAGGGTCCTGGGATGGAGCCCGGCACTGGGCTCCTTGCTCACCGGGGAGCCTGCTTCTCCCTCTCCCTCTGCCCTTACCCCACCTTTCTCCCCCCACTCGAGATACCTCTCTGTCTTGCTCTGCTCTCTCTCAAATAAATAAATAAATAAACTCTATAAAAAAAAAACTTTACTTGGAATTTTGAATTTTGCTCTTTTGCTGGTGTGAAAATTAATAGCCAGAAACCTCACTAAAGTGGAGTTGGAGGTTCCACAGGGTGACCTCTCCTGCCCTACCCATCCTTATCAGTAGCAGACCCAAGAAGAAGAGACCGACTTGACATTACCTGGGCTTGACCTTGCTATACTTTCAACTCCCAATCTACTCCAGTGGACTTTTTAGTTTATAACAGCCTTCCCAACCTACTCCTTTTCTCCTTAAAAAAGGGTACCTCCCCTTTATTCCCTGGACTCGACTATGGGTTTTGCCGCAACTTGTTTGTCCCGGATTACAATCCTCTTTTATTCTTGAGTAAGTCCATTTTTACTAGTAAAATAACTGGCAGTTTTTATTTTATTTTTAAAATTAACACTGGGCTAGCGATATCAGGTATGATCCTCTCTCGTGATGCTGGGTAGCAGCAAGCTGTAGTTCCCAATCAGCTATGCTATCGGGAAAATAAACAACCCATATACACTTAACAACCATTGCACCCAAACAATCTGTTTTTCACTTTCAGACAGTATTTAATAAATTACATTAAATATCCAACACTTTGTTATAAAATAGGCTTTGCATTAGATGATTTTGTCCAACTGTGGGCTAACGTGTTCTGAGCACATTTAAAGTGAGGCTAAGCTAAGCTATGACGGTCAGTGTGTTTAGGTGTATTAAATGCATTTTCAACTTACAATATTTTCCTTTTTAAAAAATATTTTATTTATTTGACAGAGAAAGAGACAGCAAGAGAGGGAACACAAGCAGGGGGAGTGGGAGAGGGAGAAGCAGGTTTCCCTCTGAGCAGGGAGCCCTATGCTGGGCTCGATCCCAGGACCCTGGGATCATGACCCGAGCCAAAGGCAGATGCTTAACCTACTGAGCCACCCAGGCACCCCTCAACTTACAATATTTTCAACTTATGATGGGTTAATTGGAAGGTAACTCCATCGTAAGTCTAGGAAGATCTACATGAATGAGAAAATGTTTAGGGGTGATCTCAAGGCTGTGTTTGTTAAATTGTGGCCCATTTGTGAGTTGTGAAATCGATTTGATGAGTCTCTACTAGAGCTTTGTGAAAAACAAAATAGAATTTTAATTTAATACTATAGTGCAATGTCAATCTAGGACTATATCCAACTTCTTCACTTACTAGCTATGTGCTGTTCTGCAAATTACTTTGATTTTGAGATGAGATTAGCCTGGATTATGTGGCTGGGCCCTAGATGCAAACCCCAGTATCTTTATGAAACAGAGGCAGAGGGAGATGGGGTCACAGAAAGGTTATTTGACCTCTGCAGCAGAGAGAGACTTGCTATGCTGCTAATTTTGAAAATATAGAAGGGGCCTGGAGCCAAAGAATGCAAAGAATGCAGTTCTAGAAGCCGGAGAAGACCAGGCAACTCCATTCTAGAGCCCCCGGAGTCTGCGGAGGAGACACCTTCAGCCCAGTGAAACTTATTTCAGACATCTGGCCTCCAGAACTGGGAGAGAAGAAATTTCTGTCGTTTTAAGCCACTGAGTTTGTGGTAATTTGTTAGGGCAACAAAAGGCATAGACAATATGTTCATGTACAAGCAAGTACTTACCTAAACATACAAATTCTTGTCCCCCTCCCCCCTTTTTCACACAATTGAGCACACTGTGGAATTCTGCATTCTCAAGGCTTACTCACTGAAAAAAATTTGAGGCGAACATGTACAGGCTAAGCTTACACCAGGTTGGTATAAAAGGGGATTTTACAAGAAAGTAAATACCCCACCACGCCCCTCTGGTGTTTGTATCAGACAAACCCAAGCTTGCACGGAAATCTTTATTTTAAAAAAAGTCAAAGCTAACTTGAGGTGATTTTTTATTTTTTCATTTTTTATTTTTTTAAGATTTTATTTATTTATTTGAGAGAGAATGAGAGGGGGTAGGGTCAGAGGGAGAAGGAGACTCCCTGCCGAGCTGGGAGCCCGATGCGGGACTCGATTCAGGGACTCCAGGATCATGACCTGAGCCGAAGGCAGTCGCTTAACCAACTGAGCCACCCAGGCGCCCAAGGTGATTTTTTAAAAGAACGGATTCATTTATTTGAGAGAGTGAGCACGAGTGGGAGGGGCAGAGAGAGAGGGAGGGAGAATCTGAAGCAGTCTCCTCGCTGAGCATGGAGCCCAAGGTGGGGCTTGATCTCAGGACCCCGAGATCATGACCTGAGCCAAAACCAAGAGTCAGATGCTTAACTGACTGTGCCACCCAGGCACCCCGATGTGATTTTTTTTTTTTTATGATAGAAACTATCTTCTTTGGGGAGGGCTGTAGATTGAAAGTTCATCTCTACCCAGACTCATATGTTGAAGTACTAACCCCCAATGTATTTGAAGGTGGAGCCTTTGGGAAGTGATTATGTCACATGGTGAAGCCCTCATGAATATTAGTGCCCTTATAATAAAAGAGGCCCTACAGAGCTCCCTCAGCTCTTGTGCATGTGAGGACAAGGCAAGAAGAACCAAGAAGGCGCCTTGATCTTGGACTCCCAGCCTCCAGAACTGTGAGAAATAAATGTTTGTTGTTTAAGCCACCTAGACTATGGTATTTTTGTTATAGCAGCCCAAATGGACTAAGTCAGGGAAAGAGAAATTTTTTAAAAGTCCACACAATGGTTGGAATATTAGCCAGATAAAACAAAACCTCCACCTGATCTAAATCAACACAACGTGAAATCTGGTTGCTTTCACAGACTTATACAGTTATGCATCTTGAGTTCTACGTAAAACAGTGTATTGTGGAGATCTTCCCATAACTACATAAAGAGCTTCCTCATGTTATCTTGCAACTTCATAACATTCCTTTATTTATTTATTTATTTGCTTTTTAAGTAATCGCTATGCCCAGTGTGGGTCTCAAACTCACAGTGAGATCAAGAGTCACATGCTCTACTGGGCCAGCCAGGTGCCCCAATAACATTCCATTTTATTGATGTATTGTAACTTCTTTAGCCAATCCTTCTGCTTGTGGGCACAGGTAGTCTCTACACTTCTGTTATTATCAATAAGACTACAACGAAAAACTTGTATGTAAGTCATTTTACACATATGTATGTATATTAGATAAATTCCTGAAAGTAGAACTGTTGGGTCAAAAGATACATCCATTCATTGTTTTGATTGAAATTGCTTGTAGCAATTTATAGTCCTTATAGCAAAGTAGAAGGGATCCTGTTTCCTCTATTACTAACACCTGCTGAAACGGTCCGTGAATAATGTTTCAGAGAAATTTTAATTTTTTCCTCATATTGTAAATTTGGGCACCTTTTTACATGTGTTAAAGCCTACTGTTTTTTCTTGTGTGTGGAACTCCCCATTCATATCTTTTGCCCATTTACTATTCTTTTTGATAGGAGTTCTTTGAGTATTAGAGAAATTAGTCCTTTGTAATAGGAGTCTCAAATATTTTTCTTGGTTTACCATTTGTCTTTTACTTTGCTTATTGTTTTTGTTATGCAGAATTTTTAAAAGATAATTTGTATAGTCAAAATTATTGAACTTTCTCTTCTGGCTTCTGGAA